ATTCATGTCTATATTTAAAGAAGCTTTAACAATGTGGGCTCCCAGTAAAAATAAACAAGGCACAGAAACAACAACAGCAACAACAATAACAACAACAATGGTTCATACTTTTCAAAGTCGTCTCAGTGACACTACAGCTAGATCTACTAAGTGGATAAAATAAATTCAAAAACAAAGCACAACATAGATGGAAGTAGTAAGTTATCAACGGTTACGTTAGGCATGGAGAACTCATGATGACAAAGCGAGATATTTTGTAATTTGTTTCTTGTCCTTTCCTTTCGATTTCTTGGCACCCACGTCACTAGCAAGTGTTTCTTGTTTTCTTTTTTCGAATTTTTTCTTATTTAAATTCTAAAAAAAGCAATTTGGATGTATAATGTCATACAAACAAAGAATCAGGTCTCTCAAAATAGATATCAGTTCATCAAAATAGTGTAATTTCAATAACCCATAATAAATGAAGTACCTTTTTCTTCAACTGTGTCTTGCTCATGTTCTTATGACGCATTTTTTTACCAAGGAATTTGGGCATCACTTTCATTCCAGAGGCATGCACTTCTCCGATGGATTGTTTCACCTATAAACAGTGTAGAAAGTTACTATTACATCTTATTACATATCTGCAGCATGTTTGCTTACCTGTTGCCTAATCTTCTCGCTCAATTCCTTTCCTGTTAATTTTTCTCCTTTACTGTTGGATGCCCTCTTTGCCTGAAATACGTACTCAAGACATACGAAGAAATTCTCAGTAACTGAGAAAACTTTGATAAGCTCACCTTTGCTCTTATAGCCAACAAATTTTCTATTGAAAACTCCACTATAGGTCGGCGTTCATTTGTGAACGTTGCAGGGTTGTTGTTGAGTTTTTGCAAACATGTCAGAGCATCTTTATGCTCAGCAAAGTTCACAAATGCAAAACCCTTGGAGCGTGGGTTTCCCTAAAAGCGACGCAGTCAGCAAAGAATGATGCAAATGAATGTATTTCAGGTGTACCTTAGCATCCAATTTGGATGTATCCTTCCATATGCGACATTCCGTTATCACACCCGCAGTGCCTGTTGCATTGCGACATATCTGCTTCAGCTTCTCATCAGTCATGGACATAGGAAGATTATGGATCATTAGTCGTGTAGGTGAGACAAACCTGAAAAAAAA